AGTAATCAACTCTAAATGATTCTTCAAGAGATCTTGTGATTTCATTATCAACATTCTCATCAAATTGTTTTTTTCTATAAATTACACGTTTCTTACGAAATACAGGTTCTATATTCATCTCTAATGCAATTTCCTTAGCCGAAATCATAGTACTTGTAAATCCTTCTTCTCTATATGTTTTAAAAAAAGAAACTAAACCTCTTAATTGATCTATTGCGACATCAAAATCTAACAAATATTTTAAAACACTATTTACAATATCAAATAAAAAATATAATAAACATAAGACACAAAACAAAAATAATATTAGAAATTAGAATGATATTATCGAATTCAAAAGCTATGAAGACTTGATTTCCAAAAATGAATCGGGCTGCTGCAATATAGTTTTCTCCAAATTTAAAATATAAACTATCAATAGAACGAGTAAATTTTAAGCTTTGAATAAGAGAGAGATGTAAGATTAGAATAAAGAAAGTGAGAAGAAATAGAAGGGAGGATGATAGAATATATAAAAATAAAATTAGAAAAAAATAAGGTAAAAAAAAAAGATTACTTGTACACTAAAAATAAAAGTACACAACTTTTTATTGAAAAGTCAAAAAGTCATAATCATATCTATGATACTATCACTTCATTGAGCCGTTTTGCATTTATTGTCTTGGTTCTAACAATTTTTTTTAAAATTTAATCCTTCCTAATTATCTAAAAAATGGGGCCTTTGCATTTATTGTCTTAGTTCTAATATTTTTTTTAAAAATTTAATCCTACCTAATTAACTAAAAAATGAGGCCCCCTAAAATTGGGGGCCTAAGGCAAAAGACTTTTTTTTAAGCCTTTACAGCCGCCCTCTATTAAACACAAATTTGCCATCACCTGTCAGCAAGGTATAGAACAGCCCAGAAAACCTCTGTAGAGAGTACTGAACTCACAAATCCAAAGATTACTGAAAAACATATATAGCATGTTGCTTTGATGCTACAGGCACCAAACAAGGTAGGAAATATTCGAGTTTTTATTCAAAGCATCAGTAGGATTATGCTTTGTTAAAAGCATTTATAAATAAAAGTGAATTTCTAAACATGAGAAACAATCAACGTAACGTTTAAGTAAGGGGAAACACAATGCAACCCAACTATACAGGAGCATTACTGGTTTACTTAAACGATTGCCGCACTGGAGGCTGAAAGGGAATATATGAGTAAATTCCCAGATAATATATCTATATATGCAACATTTTACAAGAATTTTTCTATGGAGGTGGTAAGTGTTGATTTAGGAACTGCACCAATGATTGCATCTTTCTTCTCTCCATTCTTGAATATCATCACAGTTGGGATGCTTCGGATTCCAAATTCGGTTGCAATGGAAGGACTTTCATCTGTGTTCAGCTTCAAACATGTAAGCTTGCCAACATATTCCTTTGCTAGTTCATCAATGACAGGGTGGATCATTCGGCAAGGACCACACCACGGAGCCCAAAATTCAACCAGTACAGGTACAGTAGACTCGACTACAAGTGTCTTCCATGTTTTATCACTAACAGCAGCCACTGCAATTTCCAAGAACTGTGTTAAACCAGCAAATGATGCTAACTATAATGATTAATGGGAATTCTACAAAAGCAATTCTCTCTATCATTAACTAGACAGGAAAAGTTTGTGTATCCAAGTTTCTAAAAAACTAATCATATTATGGCAGCTAAAGAGCAAAGTTGACAACATAGATTCCCATTTTCCCAACTAACCATGGCTAATATAAGTATATAACTGGTGCAACATCTACATCTCACACACAAGGTGCTTAAGCCAAGGTGAAACATGAAGATTCTGCAAGGCGAAGGAAGCACTGATATGCCTAACAATGTTTATTCCCTAAGATTGGCAGTAGCTTCACAAGTAACTCTATCAGTATTCAACATGTGTAGTTCAAGTTGATAGTACTTCTAAATAGTAGCAAAGAATACCTCATCATGAGCAATCAATATGCTAGCAACCAATATTCAATGAATTCTTAGCAGGTAAGTGAAACTATGAAAGCAGCAAAGCTTTGAGGGAATTATACCATAGCATCCCTATGACATCTTTTACCATTTATTGAGCTTATTGTCTTGACATACTAGTTCCCTTATATAAATTGTTAAAGAGCACAGACCAACATCGTTTTTTATAACCGAGAAATCCTCAAGAGTCAGTGGCGCATGGTTTGAAACTTGGTGGATATAAACCCACCTCACTACCCTTTTCCACTTAAATACCACGCATACCATGCTATTATCTGCAGTAGGATTCAAACCATTACATGTGCCTAACATACTATTTCCAATAGAAAAGGAAACAAAGTAAAGAAGCTAACAAGAGGAGCTATGAAAGATAAAGAAGCTAACAAGAGGAGCTATGAAAGATTGAAGGAAAGAGCTTAGTGCAGGGAACATTACAAGGGTCTTGTGGGAGACGTCAGGTGGTTGTGAAAGGTGAAGGAGCACATGAACGATGTTCCCAATTTTTTTATACGAAGGATGATTCAAATGCTTTGCATTCTCTTGTTTCTTTTCTTTTCTTTGCAGAGTATTACAACATAATTCTTGTCTCTTAGACTCCTAAAGGATGTCTAACACGAGTAAACGACATTTTACTTGTGGTTTTCCTGGACAAATTCCAGTTATACTAACCTGAGAACTAATCCAAAGTTATAAGCTATGTGCACAAAAAATCAAACGGAACCTATGATGCTCTTACTTGCCTTCGATGTATCAGGATTTAAACAAGAGTGAAGAGAAAACACAAAACTTGAGCATCAATGCTAGAGGATTTCCTTCCCTTCTTTTCTATGGAAAGTATCCGAACGTTCAATCTTCAACTTAGCTAGTACTAAATGACAATAATCAGCTCAGTATCCAAGGAAAAGATAAAGCATACTATGTTCTCAAATCTGCCAATCATCCTCACTACTGACTCTCGCATACTACATAAATCTAATTCAACTAATAAGGAAATTAGGGAAACAAAGTAACCAACACCAAAATACCAAAACTCACAAGCAGAATACAAGGAAAGGCACATATTGTTCACGATTTCATTTCCCATTCCAAGTAAATATACCTTGTATACGAAATATAACTCAAGTTACTTCTATTACTATGAGAGCTTATAACCTGTTGAGAACAGATAAAACTAAAAATTAACTCTAGTAGAAACTTCCACTGGTAACGCAATTGAATTTCTTTTCACCAAGAGCTAAGGCTTAAAGGAGCACGGAGAATCTCAATATAAAGAGGAGTAACAAATACTTTTAGTTATAAAATACCTTCGACGGCAGTATTCTGAGCTTCGCAAACGACTCGTCCTCCTCGGGGAATGATTTTAGAGCATGAGCTAGTGGATACGGATGAGCGAATTGGCTGGATCTTAAGGCCGCTGAATTGAGAGAATCTAACAGAGGAACGAGGACCGGAGAAGGAATAACCGGCGACCGGAGCAAGCGACGACGACGGCAGCGCCGATGCGCGTGGGACTGTAATAGTTTCTAGTACAGCAGCCATGGAAAGAGAAGAGAGAGACAGAGAGAGAGTGTGTGGATAGTGGGAAAGATGGTGAGGAGAGAGGGAGTGGATATTTACATAGAGATAGTGAGGTCTGTGGCTGAGGCAAAAACAGTTCGGTTATTGAGTTTTTTTTTTTTAGAAAAGTTTCTACCCGTGTTTGATATTCGTATTGAAATCTTGATTAATTTAAATTACGTATTATAAGCCTCATATTGGATGTTTATATTGAAATCTTGCCTAAATCTGAATTAGGTACTATAAGCCCTATATAAGATTGGATGTTTATATTGAAATCTTGCCTAAATCTGAATTAGGTACTATAAGCCCTATATAAGATTGGATGTTTATATTGAAATCTTGCCTAAATCTGAATTAGGTACTATAAGCCCTATATAAGATTGGATGTTTATATTGAAATCTTGCCTAAATCTGAATTAGGTACTATAAGCCCTATATAAGATTGGATGTTTATATTGAAATCTTGCCTAAATCTGAATTAGGTACTATAAGCCCTATATAAGATAGCCCTATATAAGATGACAGTGACGCTTTCAATAAAATTTCTTCTTATCCAAAATTTCAAATTAAGAATGAAATAGTCCCAAAATTACGTTTCAATACATATCGGTGTTTGTTTGTAGAGTTGGGTGAGCAGATGGATGAATGGATGAGGAGTTTTGTGTCTCTATCATCCATGCTCTCAGGTAATGCTGTTATACATTTTTATTAGATTTGGGCCACTAGATACTTGGGCTGATTACAGTACTCTTAACAGGCCCATTTTGAACCTATAAAGATATTCTTTGAGAAAATAGCCTAATTTGCCATGTACTATTTGATAATTGGACAATTTTATCCTCTGATAATTTTCCTACTATAATCTTATCCCTTAATAGGAAAAAAAGTCTCTTTGTTGCCTTATACAGTGTTTCAGCCTAATGATAGTTCAAAATTATAGTTAAAAGTTATGGAGTAAATTTGAACATTTTTTTTTTATGACAAGTGTATAAATGAACAAAAGTCCAGATGAAAGAAATTGTAGTGGGATAGTAATTTATTATTAATCATATATCTCGAATTCAAGTTTGAAAATAAAATTGACTTTAACAAGAAATACTTCACTCCAATGTAGGACTTGTGAACACACGGTTAATTAGACTCCAAAGAAACAAAACAAGAAAAACATAGATAAAAAAAGAAAGTGTAATTGGAGTTGGTAGAAGAGGAGACAAAAAGTGTGAAACCATTGGGAAGCACAACCTTTAGGAATCAATCTCCCATGCCATCCTCGTGTAGTCAGAGTACTATTAGCACAAAGACTTAGAACTTAGAACCTCCCAACCCAACATGCCCATTATTATTCTCCGCCTTTTCTCCCTATTAAGTATCGCCATTTCCACGCCTACCACAACGGCACCAATTAATACTTTTCTGCGTGTATTAAATTTTGCATAAATAATATTTATATTGTTCTAACCTGCTATCAAACGACTTCGTAGAAAAATATTATATTAGTATATCAGGTAGTTGGTCAAATGGAAGTTCAAACGTACCAGCACTGGCCCTGTGGTTGGGTCAGTCTGTTTCTCTGAATGGTCAAAAGTTTCAACTCACGTTTTTATGAATAGAGACAAATTCAGCCCAAATCAATATTGGAAACAGTAGCTAGCAGCAATAACTCCTGAAAAATGCCCATGCATTCATCTTCTTCTTCTCTTTCACGGCGCCAGAAGCCTAATAACAACAACGAAAATGTCATTAGCAAGTCTATGTCGGCAGAAGAAGAAGTGAAGCTTGCAGCTCTCGCTATCACCCTTAACATACGGCTCAGATCAGCAGATATGCCTTTCGCCATGCAAGCATATGCCCTTCGTTACGCCAGAACTCTCCTCCTCCAACCTGCAAATCACCGCCCAAATCCCTCCCTCCTGGCTCGCTACCTCAAAAAGGTGAGTTTGATTCTTCCTTCGTTTCAAATTTGAGTTGGAATCTGAAAATTTGACGCTGGTGAAACTTTTGTGGATTTTTAGGAGTTTGATTCGATGTATGGACCGGCATGGCACTGTGTGGTGGGGAAGAGTTTCGGATCTTTTGTGACTCATTCACCTGGTGGATTTGTGTATTTTTCACTTGAATCGTTCTCGTTTCTTCTGTTCAAGACGGAGGTTCAGTTGATCACGGAAGCAGTAGTACCAACACCTGCTGCCCGCTGATTCATATATTTCTGGTTGCTGCAGCTGACGGAGATGGTTGTCCCCTGTTCGGTGGTTAGTTTCGCAATCTGCATTTGAAACAGATATAGCAGCTGCTAACTTGTTTTGGAGTTAATTTCACATATGATTGTACATGATAATATTGATATTTCTCTAAGAAAAAACATACATGTAGCATCCTATTTCTAAGTTCTTTCATCTTCAAATACATAATTCAGCAATATCAATGGTGCACTAATTTAAATGGAGATGGTTCCAGAAAGCTCAATGTCGCTCTAGACCACCAAAATCATCCAATAGAATCTTACTCTGCTCCCGCATGAACTGCTCTATCTTGCCTACATCTTCCCGGGTGTCAACACCGTGAGTCTCATGGTCAACTTTTATCACCTGCATACAGGACGAGATTCATCTACTATATAAAAAAACACTCTGATAGATAATCAGAACAAGAGGAGCAAACAAACTAGGAAAATTAGAAAAGCAAGCAATTCAACTTTATCAACGATTTTTCTTATTAGGTTCTCCGTTTAACTTACAATTTTTCTGTCTACATATGGTAAGTACTTACTCGCACCCGGTATTAACAAAAGAAATTGTACTTAGCAGTTAAAAATTAAGGTGAGAATTCATATCATTTTAACCCATGGTTGAGTGAGAAATGTGTACGAAAGACACATGTCTTACATTCATTGATTTAGTGTTAACATCAGTGCTGGTAAGTTTCTATCGTCTATCTATTTTGTATCATTGTAGGAGAATAACTTTTCTTTTTCGTTGGAACTGTTTTCTCCACAATATTCACACACAAACACTTACGATACAAAGGTAAGTTGACGAAATCTCCAAATTTGTAATTTAGAGTACAAGTAAACAGATAAGTCAAGCTAGCAGATATGGTACCTTCATCTTGTATCCATTCTCAAGGACCTTCAACTGTTCAAGGTCTTCTTCAAGTTGCAACGGTGTAGGTTCCAATTCTGAGTATATTTTCAGGAACTTGGAATCATAGCTCTGGATATGAACAATTGTTCATCAGTTAAACAAGATTTTTTTCAGAAAAAACTAATGATAGTTGCACTATAGATGTATCACCCAATACCTGAATTGCAAGTAAGGAAACTGAGGATTAACCTTGCCAGACCTGAAAGTTTGCACAAAAGTGATCAGGTTTATCACACGGTAGATAAGAAATACCACTGCATTAGACTTTTAAGAAAATTATGACTAACTTGTTATAAGGGATCAATCCTCGTGAAAAATAGATTGCATAACCACGATTGTCAACCACACATTTAACACAATTTGGATCAAATGCATCCTCAGGTTTCAAAGACGTCACAGCAGTGCTAAATACCGCATCTGGTGCAGCCTGCATAAATACAGAGTCCTCAGAAAATTAATATCACTTCATAAATGGGAAACTATACCAAGTCATACTAATTTAAACTAGACTAATGCAGTTTTATATTGACCTTCATCTGATATCTTCCTTAGATATTATATAAAGCTCTTCCTCAAACAATCTCATTAAATTTCAAGATTGATATAACTCCAAAACACTTTGTTAAGGGCCAATTCTAACATTAATCTCCCCGATCAATCTATGTTACTCAATATATGATGAAGATAATAGTTGACACAGGGTCTGAAATGTTTATATCTTCACTTTGTCAAGAACACTGTGTTCTACCGTTAATTTGTTTACCCACTTTTTCCTGATAAGTGGCTGCAATTACATTTTATATTACTTTGAGCGAGCACAGCATTAGTGTAATCCTATCCCTCTCTCTAACAATATTTAACCAACTTACTAACATTAACAGAGTAATATACAGAAATACACGTCTAAAAATGTGAAGTTTGAGTCAGTATGAGTACGATAAGCCACTACCATATGAGGTAGCTATTTCGATTGAGCATATATTCAGGAAGAAAGTATAAATTCGCTATTATTTACCTGCAGGGCTTTGACAATGCCATCTATTATCTCAGGTTCAATAAGAGGTTCATCTCCTTGTATGTTAACAACAATGTCATATTTCTTCCCAAGCTTTTGAAGTGCTTCATTACAACGCTCGGTTCCTCCAATTTAACAACTGAGCATTAGCAATTTAACAGACTGACATTCACAGAAGTAGCAAAATTTAGGATTAAGAAAACGAGCGGATCTTATGTTTACCATTTCTACATGATTCAGAGGTCATTATTACTTCAGCACCAAAACCTTGACAGCACTCTGCTATCTTTTCATCATCTGTTGCCACAACTGTTAAATAATGCAAACATATCAGCACCTGTGATCACTACACCAACTATTGCTTCTCTTTTCTTTCCTATTTTTCTTTGTCGGGGGTTGGAGTTATGAAAAACAGTCAAGTTATGTGAAATGAAGACGTACCAACGTGATCCAATGTAGCAGCAAGTATTTAGCCTGTTCCCATGTTCTCTGCAATTACAAATTTGAATGTGGTGAGGGTGTCAACTCCATTCGAAACAATCACTATGATAGTGCATCCTGATTAAAGTTACACCAGAAGTTATCTATTTCAAACAAAGAGATTGCACTAGGAATATTATATACAGTTTCCGAAAAAATTCAGTAATTACATACTTCAGTTAAGTTGAAATCTGTTACCAAGTGGGGAGGCAGATGCCTAGTAGATATCATCTCACAATATAATGGGTTCAATACTAAGAACGTTAAATATTGAACTCATAATGCTTAAATCCCGGATTCGCATCCATTTTGTAATCTGTGCTCCATTTAGACCATTATCTTCTCAATAGACAAAAATCTTACAATTTATATACGCTAAAAGGACTGACCCGGCTCCAACACCTGCCGGATTGGACAAGGTACGCACGAGCACCGAGAGCGGCGGCCATTGCAGCTCCTACAGCTAGACCACTTAGGATCCATGATTTTGAAGAGCTAGATGATGACGACGACGAATAACATGAACTAAAGATCGGCATTTGCTCTTTTTGTTAACGAAAGAGAATGGAGAGTTGAATTTTTTTTGGCAAATCTAGTTATGCTCCATAAGGCATCAAAAAGAAAAGAAAATTATTACAACTAAAAGACATGTATTTGGATTATTCAATGCTTATATATGACCTGTAAATGATTTGCCGAATACCAAATGGTACTAATGTCTCATACCAAACCCAAATACCATAATTCTAAAATTTTACTCTCGAATACCATACCAAATACCAAATTACCAAATATCAAATAACCAAAAATTTCGGTTCGGTTCAATATTCGCATGCCCACCCTACTTGTACTATTCTCCATGGAGAGAGTGCACAAGGTGCAATTGTTGTTAGCTTATGATTCTCTTACTCCATCTTATCTTAAATTAAAATGTGCTCTTTTATCTCTCTTTGTTACATCTATACTATTTTTATGATTTGTTTGTTTAATCTTAATTTGGCACAGAGTTATAGAGTAAAATTATTAGAACGTATAAAAGTGATCTTAGACCTATTTGCATGGAAAATTAAAACTAAAAAGGAAAGCAAATAAAACAAATTGAAAAGAGAATGAACCTAACAATTTCATTGATCAGCAAAAGCAAAAATAAACTGATACTATTAGCATATAAGAAACGAAAAAGGACTTGGTCCAAATTTCATGCTGTAAAAGCGCCGCCGCCACGGGAACCACCACTACGGCCGCCGCCACGGGAACCACCACGACGGCCATAGTCATCCTCATCAGAATCATCGCAGCTTCCATACACATCATCAAATCCCTTCGGTTCATCATCATCAGAATCGTCAAAATTATCTTCATCATCAGAATCGTCTTCGACATCTTCTTCCAGATCAGGACGTTTTTTACTACTGGTCGATCGGCTTCCACGTAGCTCCATCAGAGACAAATCAAAAGCAGGCAAAGCGGAGCCGATACCAATCGGAAAGTTCCAATTCAGAAGAAATTCATCAGCATTTGAAACACTCAACTTTTTACCATCAGAAAAATGTCCAGTCAAAATCGACTTTGGTTGAAATTGAGGGGAAATATTAGATGCGTCTGCAGAGGCGATGGCGGCCGTAGCTGCGGGGCGGAGGAGATGGCTGTGAATGAGATTTCGGAGCGAAGTTTTGTTGGTTAAGCTTTGAAGCCTAGATACAGCAGCCATGGTTGCTGAAGTTGTTTAGCTTCACTGAAAACGAAAGGGTTTTATAAGGGTTTAAGAGCCCTAGGGTTTTGGAGGGTTCTAGAGATTTATTAAAAAAGAAGGACTTATAAAATAATTTTAAGCTGCCGGGGAATTTAATTTCAATATATATTTACATATTTTTCATTTTTCTTGAGGTAAAAGGTTTTATTTTGTTGGATAAACACTTCCTCCGTTTTATATTAGTTTTCATATAATAAATTTAATATTTTAAGAAATGTGTATTAGCTAATAATAAAGATAAATAAGGAACTGAGCATTTGTTTGGTACAAATATAAGATAAATTAGTCTCGCCTTTTGTCTCTTATCCTTCATAGTAAATGACCACCGAGTAATATGCATCTAATTTTAGTATAGTAAATAAATAAAAGTAGACGGATAAAACAATTAGTTCTATATTGATTTGTAAATTGATAAGTATTTTAAAACGAATATGTTTAGCAACATCGACAACTAATGTGAGCCGGAAGGAGTAGTAATAAAACTTGCTCATGGTAAATGAATTTAAGTGATCAATTTTGTTACCATCCATTTCTGGTTATTGCTGACAAAATATAACCAACAGACAATTAAACAAAGGACCAATTGAAGAAGGGAGAAATATGAGAAAGATAATAAGAGATACAAGTAATACAGTTATAAATCTCTATACCGACATTATTTGTCTCGATACTTTTCGATTGTTATAACGAAATACTATTGTAGAGAACAAATACAACATGAAAAGTGAAATCAAAAGCAATTGTTTCCAAAAAACTATGCCCTGTTTATTCTGAATGTGTAAAAACAATGTTTTGTATAAAATAATCTGTGAGAAATTAGCTAATTAATTTTCGTAATGACAACATATATCGGTCATTCTACATAAGTATATCAGCTTTCTTCCTTTTTAGAGAATTAGTTCTGTAACCAGTTTCAGACGTTGAAGCCTTCAGCTCGAAGACATTTAAGATGAGCTTCGATCCATTTCTCACAAGCTGATTCACCGTGTTCCACAATGCATTCATCTCTCACCTTCTTAGTCTCTGGACAAGCACAGCAGATCTTCTTCTTTGGCTTTGAATCTGCAGGGACTGTAGCGGGAGCTGACTTTTCATCATTTGGAAGTTGTGACGAAGATGTGGCTGTTGAAGTGTTCTCCTTTGATAGTCCATCCCCCAGTTGCGATGAAGCACCACCCATTCTCAAAGAAGGCTGCAAAGAGTTGGGAAACAAAAGATTGATGATGGCTATCAGATTAGCATTACTCACAAATCAGCCAACAGAAGGGTAAAAGATATACATATACCAAATCGTGTTAATAGAACCAGCCTTCCGAAAGACAAAAACTACAACAAAGGTACCTATCTTTCTTTTTTTAATTACAAGCAATGAAGAATATTTCAGATGGTAAACTAGTACTGACCAGTGCAAGAAATTACAGACTGTGCAACTTCTCTATCGTGCCTACCAATGCATGTAACATTATTTACAAGAGACAAGTTGCACCAAGAAAGCTAGTAAAACAATACATCTGTGTTTAAGGCCAAGTATGTATGTCCCTTTGCCTTAAAAATTCTATTGTTTCTTTCCAGCCAACAGTCCACCAGAATACGTGTGGTATAATGTTCCAAGTCTTAGTGGACTTCTTGTTTAGTCCATTTCTTTTCAAGCAATGCAGTAAACAATAATAACTATCTAAAGTACGGATAACCTTCGAACTATAACTTTGTCAAACAAATATGCTGCCCGACAAAAAATAGTACCCTACCAATTATCATTTCAAATTACACTTTCCACTATCACACTTTAAAAGGATCAAACTTCTAACAACTAGTGATGAATTAAGAACAAAAAGTGCTAATGAAATCCGATTCAAATACCTAACCACCACGCCACCACCCATAAGAAGAGAACATGTTGGAGAGGAGAATACAAAGCCGTTACAAGAATTTTACCATCTTCTGTAAATTTCCTTCTCTTTTTTACTTTCCAGAAAGAGAAAGGTCTAGAGTCTAAAATACCTCTGCCATATCTTATTACATTCCACTCATCATTTACTTATACAAAGGAAAAAGAAAAACATATGGTACTGTTTTATTTAGATCAAGAAGAAAATTACATCATGTGTTACCTCCACATGGTACATCCACCCGTAGTTATAAATCCTACTCTTTTGCATTCTAAAGTACCACCTCTTCTTCGTATTTTCTCCTTATTCAAGAGCTACTCCATCTACTATAAGTAGAGAAACTTTCTAAGTATCAACACACGCTCTAAAAGTTCCAAGCAATTTCAATATGCAATGCTTTCATATGACATAATTTATTCTTTCTACCCCCTCCTTAGTTAGCACCCTTCCCCAGCTAACATCTTTAAAACGAAAGACTTAGATACTTATCTATGTCAGTGTATAAATATCTTCTAATCCTTCTACTCTCCTCTTTCCATTACTTCGTGTAAATCACAGCAAACAAAAGTATGGACTAATGCTAACTCCTCCAACAATATAAGAGTTCTTCCATTAGATATGCTACTTCTTATCACAAGAAGTACTGTCCATCCAGGTCTGCAGGATGCAGTCTAGATGCTTTTATCAAGTGAAATCCTAATAAACATAAATAGCTATGTGTTCTATTCTATCACAAAGCACTATATGCAGATCTAGAGGCAAACCCCTCGACAAAAAATTCACGGTATATATAAGGTATTTTAACAAAATTGTTATGTGTATATATAAATTTTGAAGTTGACTTAGTAATTGAAAGTGTTCAAAATTCACCAGCACTACATTTTTAATTTTCGAACCTCTGATTGAAAATCCTAGATATATATCAACATAGCTTTGGGTTTAGCACCAACTCTGTTCAACAAGTCACTAAAGGACCAAAGTGAATAACACTGACAATACATAAATAGCTGAATATTTCAATTGACACAAAGTAACTCATATAATAAGAACTCAGAATCCAAAAAAAAAAAAAAACTATCAGTAAGAAGATTTCATTACAGTTATCCTTCAATTTGTGAAACTCAAATAAGCATAAAAAAAATTGCTTTAACCCTAATATCAAAAGCGGCGATGCAAACAAAAAAAATAAATCAAGGATTTAAGCGTGTGAGCTGCGAAAATTAATTGAAAAACACCATGGAAGAGCAGATGCAGATTCATTGGAAGTTGTAATCAGCAAAATAAACTGAAAATACAGATTTTTTACGTACCTTTTAGTTCGTTTTTTCTTCTCGCCCAAGACAGGGTTTATGAGAGGTTTATGTGGACAAATTCCTAGCTACGTTTTTCCAACAATGGCTGCTTTTATTGCCTTCAAATTTCTATGAAATATCAAAACAACCCATAAGTTTTCAAATAGACACCCCCACCCCTTCTCTTTGTGTTATCACGCAATTTATCGTGGCTTTCAAATGTGATTTGTAAATTGCGATTCGTGCTTGTAAATCACTTTTCTCGAATGTGATATATAAATTACAATTTTCAAATAATTTTAAAATGATTCTAGAATGTGATTTGTGAGTTATACTAATGTGACTTTTAAGTTCTATTTCAGGGTTCGTGTCAAAATAAAAAAAAATGTTAATATTAACACTTTGTTATGAAAATTTGTCTTGCCTTGGTTATATAGTTGTTTGGACTTCAATGGAACCAAAGTATATATAACACATACATTTGTTAAATCTGGATTCACACCAAACACCGGGTGGAAATAAAAAAAAAAGATTACAACACTACTATTCTTCCTGCACTTTATCATCATGGCTAGAGGTAACACTAAATTCTGCTGCAATTATGCATATGTTTCCGTCTATAAATTCTAATGATAGTGAAAACGAGGGTTCCAGTAGACGAACTCGAAAAAAGGCAAATATGACATCTACATAAAAAAGAAATGACCAACCTATTATTTAAATAAGTGATATCTACAATGTTAATTGAATTGATATTCACAACCTCAAAAGCAAAACTAATTTCTTTCTTCTCACATTGGACAAGTAAGTACCTATCAAAATTGTCCTAACCTTTTTGTTCACTAGTGAGGAACAAATAGGTTGTATAAATAGATTCTTTTCTTTTTGCTTCCAAAAATGGAAGGCAAGAAAATCAAAATGTTGTGCTGCTTCCCTTACTCCCAGACCCAACTTTCCGATGTCGCCTTGAGTTAGACTTCCTTTCACCTTTTCCGCGCTTTGGAGGTCTCCTTACTGGAGGTTTACTAGAAGAACTATCACGAACAAAAGCCGGTGGAGGATGTGCATGACTTCTCACAACTGTCATGTGAGCCCTTTGCTCCAGTAAATCTCTGTGGTATGCCTGCATAGATTTGGTATACACTCTTATACTATGAGAAAGTATTGTATGTACAGAACAGCAAAAATTAAGGCAAATAACTAAGCTAAACCATAAAAAAATTGTATCCAAATTTTCCCAACTGAAGAATCGAAATACTTGAGTCTTTAATATTTAGGTTTAGGGTGGAAGAGTAAAGGAGATTTTCCTTTGTGGATACCTGTATCACGAAATTCCGCCTCTCACAATCCAAAAACATGTTGACGTTCCAGCTAACTTTTGCCATCAATTTGTCCCTGACAGTGGAAAAGCTCAGTTGGTCCCTAGAGGTAAAACGGTCAACTTCATTGAACCACAGACAGGTGAACAGATTTGTGATGGGAATATGCTCCTTTATAATAACACATCCTTCGGGAACATCTGCAAAATGTTGAATGAGCTAAGTAAATTTTGAGCGAGTGGTCAAATGAAGACAAGGTGTAAATGTGGACTCACCACTAGTAATAGGAAGCTTAGCCTCTGAATATGCAGTTAAACCTTCTTTCTTGTAGAAATCAATTTGGTGGTCGATGGATACATTATCATACTTCCCTGCAGCTTTATTAGCTTCCGCTTCTTCAAAGACATCAAAACGTCTATAATGTCTTGAAATAGCAAAAGTAGCATTCTGGCGCCACAAGAATCTGAGATAAAGGAATAGGAAAGAAGAAACTCATAAAGTTATAGTAGAGGTGAGATATCGCAACTAGAAGGTGTAAGCCAACAAAAAGAATGAATCATTAATTCGGTTGCCGTACACGCCACTAAAACAAATAGAATATGGCCATGTTGAAAAGAAATGACACAGCAACAGGGAAAAAAGATGAAAATAAACTACCAAACTGTTGCGCCTGTCAAGGTAATCCTCAATAATTCATTGGTCATTGTCTGAGGGGTGGCATCATAGGAAAACCCTAGGGCTGCACTATCCTGCCTAATAAATTCTTACAAATAGTATGTACAAAACACATTCAAGGTGCAACCCACAAATAAAAGATGGGTGCCATTATGGCATTGACCATTCATTGCTCAATACTTCCACTACTACAATCATTTGATCAATACCTAAAATGAGAAGATACAGGTATGTATATTATTTTTTCTTAATTAAAAGTATGTATCTTATCCTTTTTCTCCTTTGGAAAATCAACCTCATCAATGATAAAAACACTTTTTGAGTTTGCGTATAAAATCCAGGAAATAAAAAAAAATCAGCAACAACAATCTGGTTTTAGATGATGCAGACCTTCATCAGCTCCAACCCCCAGTCATAACCCCGGAATTATCAGCTTCACCCCACAGCTAACAGCTTAGCACAAGTACTATCATATGAGTAGCAAAAAATGATGTGCATAAAAGATGAAAACTATTATTGGGAAGCTTAAACGAAAATGAATTAGATCTATTACCAAATAAAAAACATGTACAGTAGCTAGCCATTATTAAAAATCGTTTTCCCTTATCACCAATAATAAGACTTAATAGTAGAATCTCTCCAAGCACAAGGTATTCCAACCGGCATACAAGGACACGAGTCAGTAAAACCAAATGTACCTCTCGAGAATCTGGTAAGGATCCACAATGAGCTGAAGCTTTCCATCTATCCAAATAGAATAGCGGACATTAGGAAAGAGCCTATGCAGTAGGAGCTTAGGTACCTGCCACAGATACATCTCTTTCAACCAAATCCATATTCATATGTTCTACTTCTAATCCACACTTCACATATGAAAGAGTTACTGAAATTATACGCCATGAAAGAAAAATATAATGAAGTCAATTCAAATTGATGACAGATGAATGATAACAGAACCTCTACACCCAAAAAGAAAAGAAAAGGTAAAGACATTGCATATATTCTATTACCTCTTGGCGAGTAGGTTTGTTCTCATCACCATATGTGAAGAAAAATTTAGACAGTTACATTGTCATAGGACTAAGGTTTAGTGGTAAGAGTGCAGTGAGTGATGTGTGGTTTAGGCACATGTAACGGGTTTAAACCCTTCTGTAGACAAAAAGCTAAGTATTTAAGTGGAGAAGGGTAGAGGGATGGTCCCATTACCCACCGAGTTTCGAACCATGTGCCTCTAGCCCTCAGGGATTTCTCGATTATCTAAAAAAAGAAGTGAAAATTATTTTGGCATCATGGCCTCAACCAAAAGATAGTCCCTCAATCTGCTGACAATCATTTCCAGTCAGAGGTGTAAAAGACTAACTTAACAGTGATTGCGGAGCTATACTACAAAGTCCCACAATAGATACTTAATGTTAGTAAAAGGCAAAAGCGATATATGATACCCAAGTTCATTGCTTTTCTTTCTTTCTTTTTTTTTTGGTTTCCTACATACAACATGCTTAGAATTTAGTGTCTTTTCATACCCAGATGCCACATCAAGCACTCGCGTAACCTCAACTGGTCAACCCCTTAGAAGAAAGAAGATTAGAGAAACAACAACAAACCCAGTGTAATCCCATAAGTGGGGTCTGGGGAGGGCAGGATGTATGCAGGCCTTACCCTACCTTTGTGAGGTAGGGAGGTTGTTTCCGAAAGACCCTCGGCTTATTCGAAACATGGTAGAAAGCAGATTAGAGATCAGGTTTAAAATTTGACAGAAACCTTGATTGAGATAGGGGGATTTAAAAGAAAACTAGAAGAACAAACCTTCCCATTGCGTCTCGCATCAGAATAAGGCACATTGCGAACAAGAATAATCCTCCATAAACCAACCCTATTTCTGCTGTCCAAGAGGCTAGAGTTCTTCAAGGATGCTTCTGTTTCTTCATCAACAAACATATAAAAGGGAACTTTTTCTCGTGTAGTTTTACCCCAGTTCTTTGGCTGTTGAATCACGTCATAATTTCCTGTAGAGCATTTATGTAGATATAGGTAAGGGATATCTGCATTTCTTTATGCTAATGAGGTTCACAGTGCTGTAGATAGATGATTGTGGTTTTGATACTAGCCACTTCTAGCTTGGCTACATTTTCTAATCCTCTTTCACCTTATACTCCTAGATTATTAATTAAAATTAAAAAGATGAAAATATGGAGCATAGCTATAGAGTACCAAATATGGCTGATGCCACAATGACATCATGGAATTGCTCCATCTCCTTTAGATCTGCCGCATCAATGTCAAACCCTGTTCTATCACCAGGTCTACAACCTTGGACAAATCTGACCCAAATATATTAGGGATGAGACACAGAGCAAATACTCTAGAAGGAGGACAAAACACTAAAGCCAACAACAATAAGACAAGTGACTATGTCAAAATGACAAGTACAACTTACCCACAATGCACAGTCATTGACTCTTTTATGTCAAACGAAGCATTCCTCTCCACCAAAGAAGGGTACCCACCAAATGCAGAACCCCTGTGAGGTTCAGTCTTCATGGGAATTTGCTCGTGGAAATAAGTTAAATGCTGAAGCCCGGGTGACACTGACGGGACTCTAGGCATACGAGCTATTGCTTGCTCCACAGGAACATAGCATACAGGACATGCTGAATGAAAATGAAAGAGAGCACAATCCAGATTACAACATTATGAGAAGTGCTGATCAAAGCAAAGGATATAATACAAATTTGTGAAGCTAAGAAATAAGATAAGGTTGGAAACAAGTGAATTTTACACTTACGTCGAGGCCCAATTCGCCTCCTATCACCAGGTGGAGGAGGAGGGAATGCAAAATTTCGACAAGGATCGGGAAAAGCAGAGGAATCTTTAGTCTGTATCATAGCCAAAGCATGGGGAGGAGGAAGCTGGGCATTATGCTCATCGCATACCATAACCTTCCTGGGCAATAATGCAGATAGATGGTATGTGCTGTTTTCAAACCACTCCTTGAAGTCCAATTCAGAACTCCTTGATGCATCCTCTGATAATCGCAAAAATCTTGTAAGAAAATCAGGAAATCCATCTCATAACAAATTACAAAAGTAAC